AAATGTCTGGTAGCCTTCTTAGGAAACATGCAGAAGAGAAGCCCATTTCATTAACTTTGTAACAAGCATCTGTTGCAAACGAGGGCTGGTATTTATTGACTTGTTTTGTAGGACTCATTTTCAGTGGCTACTGAATAGTGCCAAAATCTCAAAGTATGGCCAGGTGCCTTCAGAATCCAGCCAATGGGAGCAATGCAGAGAAGCTGTTTGAGCAGCCAGGGATCAGGTTAGGAAAGCTAAAATCCTAGTAGAATTAAATCTGGCCAGGGATGTTAATGGCAATTTATAGGTATGTTTGTGATAAAATGAAGACTAGGGAAACAATGGACCCTCTCAAGAAGGAAACAGGAGATGTTGTTACACAGGATATGGAGAAGGCTGAGGTACTGCGAGAATGAAGAACCACTCACTGTAGAAGATCAGGTTTGAGACCATCTAAGGAACCTTAAGGTGCACAAGTCCATGGTACCTGATGACATGCATCCACAGGTCCTAAGGAACTGATGGATGAAGTGGCTCAGCCACTGTACATCGTATCTAAGAAGTTGTGGCAGTCTGGCACAGTCTGCTGACTAAAAAAGGGGAAACATAACTCCCAGTTTTACAAAGGGAAAAAAGGGCGACCTGGGGAACTACAGGGTGTTCAGTCTAACCTCTGTGCCTGCCAGGATCATGTAGCAGATCCTCCTGGAAACTAAGAAACGTGGAAAATGAGGTGATTAGTGACAGACAACATGGCTTCACTATGGGCGAATTTGCTGGCTTTCGCAACAGGGCTAACTGAACGTTCGTGAATAAGAGAAGAGCGCCTGATGTCGTCTGCCTGGACTTGTGCAAGACATTCAACACTGTCCTGCATGACATCCTTGTCTCTAAACTTGAGAGGCATTGATGTGACAGATGGACCACTTGGTGGTTAAGAAATTGGTAGGATGGTCACACTCAGAGTTAGTTCTTCTTAATTCTTGCTTAAGGTCTCCAAAATGATCTTTGTACATCCATCTGAGCTCACTCTCAGTATTGACTGTCACCACATATGGCATTTGCACTGAGCAGAATATATAATTCTTGCATATTTGTTCCTTCTCATTCAGTTCTCTTCCATAGAACACTGGGCTCTTCTCACAACCTGTTGTTAAATGCACTGATTGTTTTGATAGAGCTGCTGTGCGACCACTTGTTCATGAATGCTTTCTGTGGTCACCAATGGTTTGACCACTGCTGGTATGCAGGTTACCTTTGCTAATTTGCTTCAGACAAATGTAAAATAAAAATAAAATTTAAAAAAAATCAATAAAATTACTAGGCAACTTACAACTTTTTTTCCTCTCTTTGATTGGGTATTTGTGGATATAGCAGACAGAGCTTCCCTTTTCTTGGTGAATTGACTCTTAGCTATTTCAGAACTTGCCTTTTTCCTGTTTTCCTGCTGTTCATAAAATCTGGTCCAGCTTGGCTACTGGATAAAGCTGTTTGCCCAAATACAATAGCATAGAAGCAAAGAAACTGTCTCTAAACATTAAGAGCAGGAAAATTATTTGGAACTATGATTCAGCTTTCCCAAATATGCCTTTTGTAAGAATAACACTTGCAGAGAATTAGCATTAAATTTACTGAGCTATTCAGAAATGAGTCTTGTTGTGCATTTCACAGTAGTTTGCTAAATAACAAGTGTATTGCATGCCTTGTTTTAAAATATTGAATCATTGATCCATAGAGAGCAAGTTGTTAATGATCTAACTATTCAACTACTCTTTGCAAGTCTTCAAAATAAAGACAGAAACAAAGGACAATGTTTTGCCGCCTTTATTGCACAAGATGTTCAGTTGACTGTTTCCATGCAGTGCATTAATCTTATTGTAGTTAGTTTCATAGTTCATGAAGCAAATAATCTGAAGTGAATAATGCAGTTATTAATGTGCACACCACTGAGCTTATGCATTAAAAAAGGTAGTCATCACACTGTTGAGCTTGCTTGGTACTTCAGAATTAAAATTTAGGTTAATTTCCTTGGCATTTCTTGACTAGTAACACAGGAGTAATGCTGTTGGTTTGAAACTGCTAATGAAAATAATTGACAAGATCTGTAATGCTGTTTTTTGGGGGGGTTGTGAAGTTCAAAAGTTAAATTTTATCTGGAAGAAAAAGCCTTTTATCTTTTTCTTCTGATTCATGAGAAGCTGAAATATTTGTGAGCAAAATCCTTGCTTCCTTATGAAGCAGGGTTTGGGCTGTTGAGAAATGTCAGACACCCTAAGGGTGTCAAAGCTGGAGTTTCTCTGAGGTTTAGTTTTTGGTCTGCTAATTAGTTTTGTCACTGCAGTTCAAATAAAGCACCACCTGGCAGTCACTTCAGCACGTCATTACCTTGATTTATGAATAGGTTTTGCTGTATGAAGATCAGAATGCTCCCTGCCCTCCAGGATTTAAGTCCTCAGTGGAATATGCTCTGGATTTATTATTTTTATATTGTGCTGAGGTACAGTGATAGTGAGACTGGCAACCAAGCTGTTGTGTGTCTATAGGGAAACTTCAGCTTGCCTGGAGTAGATGAGGGGGTTTGCTTTAAGTTAAATAAAAACAATAAGAATTTAAAAAGTGCAGGTTCAGGGACACAAAATGAAGATTTCTTGTAGCATGCAGGAGCTCTATGCAGTCACAAGAAAATATTTTTCCGCAGACCTGACAGCATCAGAATATTTAATAAATATTTTAGCCAAGCTTGAGTTAAAATATGAAGTTTTCTTGAGCACTTCGGAAAACATGTTCCATAAAAATACACTTAATACTTGAATTTTGCAAAAAATACAATCGTGGCTTACTCAGCAGAAGCTTTCAGACTTGGTTGGTCTTTCCCACCTGCATGGAGGAAAGGCACAAGAGTTCTTTGTGCAGGCGAAAGTAGATCGGTTTAGCTGTCACATGAGAGGAAGATAGCTGCTTCTGCTTTTTAGAGAACAAGCACAGATTGTGAAGCCTCCACTGTTGTATTACATTGTTCATGAATTCATGTCCAAGGGCCTCTAAAAGACCTTTTTTATTTTTTTATTTTCTTTTTTTTTTTAGATATATCAGTTGGGAAGTTAATCATGGTTTATATGAACAAATGAAATACTGTGTCATTCTTTCACTGCTGCGGTAGTGTTTTCTGCCTTGTATACAAAATACTCATGCAACTAAGATGATTCGTGTCATGGAATAACTAATACAAAAAGGAGGATTTGAACTTGCAGCTATATAATTTCAGAGCTGTACTGCTCTTGTGCGAAGATCTTTGTGTTTGAAGAGATTTTTTTGAGGACAAAATATGAAGTTAACCCTTCTAACACATAAGCTGTTCCCTTATTTTAAACTTTTAAGGCGCATTCTCCATTTGGAGTCTTTCTGCTGCTGTTACATCTTCATTTTTCATGAATTATCACTAGGGGTTGTTCTTTTGGTTTTTTTAGAAAGCAATAGTATGGAATTTGGTGTTGGAACAAAAATAATTGTCAGTTGGCATTAGTTTTGAAGTTATGCATTAATACTTAACCTCTGAAAAGAATTCTTGGGTTGTGTTCCTATTTATAAACATTTTAAAGTCTTCAATTACTAGACAGAGTTCTGAGTGTCTAAAATCAGTTACTAACAGTAGGTTTAGATGCTGCTTGAAAGAAAACGTATTTTGTTTATAGTATTCATCTGCTTATTACGTTTCAGCACTAAACAGGAAGAATTATTTCCTGCCTCAGAATACTTTGTTTCCTTTGTCTTTACAATGAGAGAAAAAAAAAATGAAACAGGAACACTCCTTCTGACCAGGGAAAACTTGTCATTTTTCTAAGTAGGGTTTTGTCGTAAGTAAACCTTAGTAATGCATTGCTGATGAAGATAGGAATTTTAATTTTAACAGCATACTGCAATGAATGTTACATATGGTCATCATAGCATACGTAAACTAGTTTTAACTGCATAGCTGAATGTTATAGAAGCTAAAGATTACATGCATGAAATCAGCAGTTGAAACTATTATATAGCCTTATCTCTCACTTTAAGTTGTGACTTTAGTTTTTCAAAGAAAGTTTCATTCTGAGAGTTGGCTTAATCATGCTTGCTTATTTTTAAAGACAGCTAACTTCAAGAAGATGGGTGGGGATCATGTGCTGCTGCTTAAGAATGTGGTTTTCTTGGTGATTTAGCAGATAGCTCAACAGAATCAGGAAATCTTCCAGACTGTTCATATTTTTCAGTGTCTGACTGTTTTTTGCTTTTTTGTTGTTGTTGCCAGCAATCACAATGAACTACTTTGCTGTAGGTCAAAAAGCACAAGCCTATATGGATTACACTTTCATTTACAGATACAAACTTGCTGTGAATTCTGCTGTAATTATATCTGACTTGAAGAGCTTTTGAGTCATCAGTCACTTGGAAAGCAGCTCTCAAGGCCACTAGCCTTACTTTCATGACTTCCATGTTGAGTTTAAACATACTGTGTATTAGTTTAGAAGTCTTTTTTTTTTTTGAGGAAGAGTTCATGTATAGGAAGAGGCACTATATACATAGTTTCATGCTTGTGCACCATATGAAGATAAAAGATTTTCACCGTTGATTTACATTCATTTTGTAAACTGTTTTAAAGCAGACATTGCAAGCTTTGTATTGCCAAGGAGTACATGAACCATCACAACATTTGAGAAACCTTTGGTGAATGACATGACATTACATGTAGGGTTATTTTTGTATTGGTTTAATATTTGCCAAGACCTTCCTTTTTACTGGGTGTCCAAACAGTACACACATCTTAATGAAATAGCCCTCCAAACAGGTATGCTGCAAACAGCAGACTAGCAAATTAGTCTTGAAAGGCTTTCTGCAGTTGATTGGAAGTAAAGTTTTAGCAGCTGTGTTGTAAAGAGAGGGAGAATAGGGTGGCACAAAGTTTAGGAAAGCTGTGGTGGTATACTTTAACTAAAATTAATTTGTATGACTTTGTTTATTTTTTTTCTTTGCTGTAGTCGTGACATGGAGAATAAAGAAACCCTCAGGGGGCTGCAAAAGATGGATGACCGCCCAGAAGAGCGCATGATCAGGGAGAAACTCAAGGCAACGTGTATGCCAGCCTGGAAGCATGAATGGCTGGAAAGAAGAAGCAGGAGAGGTCCTGTGGTAAGTGGCACTGATGAAAGGGCAGTATCTGTAACAGCTATTACCAAAAAAATCCCTTAAATTCCTTTCTATTAGGAATCTTGTTTTCTTAACAATTTGCATACTCATAATTGTGGCCCTCCTGTTCATTGTTTTGAGATGTTTAACAGGAAACTGTGGCTGACTTTCTGAAATGTACGCTTTTCTTATCCTGTATTTTTAAAGGAAAAAGCATATAGCTTTGTAGCTGACTTGTGTAGTATAAAATACTGGGACAACACTGCCCTCTAATGTCAATAACAAAAGCAGCTCCTGTTCATTAGATTAAAACTTGAGTCTAGGTGCTAAATTTCACCACGGTGCTTTATACTCCCTGATTCTTAGGTTTTTCATGACTTCACTTTTCCTTAGTTTGAAAATGTTAATCTTCTGTGTATTGAAACAGAAGTATATGGAATTTTTGCTAGAAGAAAAAACAAACTGCAATCTTAACTAGAACCAGACAAAACCAAACTTGTGTAACTCCTTTACACAAGCCTCAAGTCTGCTAAACTTTGGCTGCCAAAGTGTTCAAATAGCCTTTTGAGTAATGCTTGTGGATGAATGGCTCAGAAGTGATTTTAAGAAATTACAGGCAGATCAAATACAAAACTTATTAACATAGTTACAATTCTATTTAGTATAATGCTCGTTAATTAACAGTCATTAGTCACCTGTAAGCGTAGTTATGTTAGTTGATGTGATTCCCATGTACTACTTGGTGGCAGTGCTAATTTAAAGCTAGGATCATCTGATGCAGTAAACAAGTATCTGGGGACAGCTTTTCTAGAACAGAAATAAGAGGGTTCAGTTGTTAACTTTTTGTCATGAGAAAGAACATGGAAAATACTTAGAGCACCAAAAAAACAATACCTCAAAGGGTAAATAACACAAAACAGTCTTTTAATAATTTTTTAATGCATCTTTGTTACTGCATAGCTTGAAGTTGTTTCCTTGCTCAGGCCACTTCCTTTAATGTTTCTGGTGTAACTTGTCCATAGGCACATGAATCTGCATTCTGACCTTCCAGAAAAGAGACAGCATTACAGTAATTAGTAGGAGGGGAAAAAAAGAAAGCCTACCCTGCTTTTTATACTTCTCCTTTATCCTACTCACATTCATAATCAGACAGCAATCTGCTTAAAAACAATATGATGCCTTTCTAAAGTAAAATGAGAGGTTCTTGGATCAAGGCTATAAATGTGGGGCTTTTCTTCTCTTTGGCAGTGCCTAACTACTAGACCACAACCTTCTCATTGTCCTCTTCTCTCTGTAGCCTGCTGAAACTGAAATACATTTCTGAATAGTGGAATAGCTTCAGTTGGATGAGTTAAATGCTTCAGTTTAAAATAGCATTTGACGTTGAGGATGCAGTCCAAATCATCAGGTAGAAAGGCACTGAGTCTGCATGTCTCTTCCTTCCTGTACTCTGAACAGAGAAAGCCCCTTTTTGCCTAAATCAGAAATCTCTGGAACTTTCTGGGAGAGGTCTGCTCTTAACCTGAAGTGTTACCTGGAGCTTCCTTTCAGCTTTGAGTCAAGCCTCTAAGACATGGAAAAATGCAGAACTAAAATTGAATCTGCCCTCTGTGTCTGCTTTTAATTTGACTACCCGGTGCCTTACTCTTACACGTTATGTGCATCTGAGAGGCAGGTGACTGAAAGTTGTCTTGAAATATTCCACACCTCAGTGTCAAAGTTCAGTGTTAATACAACAAAGCACTTTACGGAAGTATATGTACTCACTCTGCTTGACCATGTGTCTACTTTTGTAATGCAGCACTGTGCACAATGATTAGCTCAGATATCAGATGTGGCATAGCTGTTTTACTTATATGGCTGGCAGAAAACCCAGGCATGATTCTTACAGAGTACAGCACACCTTAATTCTGCTGCATTGTCTCCATGTTTAAAGTAATTTTTATTTTGCAACAAGTGGTGTGCTGTAGAAAGAGCAATCCTAGTATTTCTCAATTGATACTTTTAAAACAGATGGATCCAATGTTTTGGCTCTGAATAAGCAGACAACGCCTGTAGAAAACAGTCTTTTGGCTCCAATTATCCAAATGAGGAAACTGCTGTCCTTTGAGAAGTCATGAATAACAATTACAGAAGTCCTTTGAGAATCAAATTAGTTGCTGCTACAACTAACATAAACAGCAGGAAAAATTATTCTCACTTTTTTTTATTGCATATAGATTAACAAGATAACCCGTATTAAATGTTGATATTAGAACCTAGGAAATATGCAGACTTCAGGTGTCTGGATAATGTCTTAATTATATCATGCTTGCAAAACAATTTTCAGTGAATTTGTCTTGCTCTAGTGTAAAATGATCAGTTTGCAATTCTAACACGTTTTAATTTCTGCAAGGTGGTGAAACCTATCCCTGCTAAAGGAGATGGATCAGACATGAACAAACTCTCTCTAGAACCTCAAGCTGAAGGACAAAGTACTGCTTCTTCACCTACACAGAAAGGAAGACGTAGTCCTTCTCCTAGTAGCTCCTCTTCATCTTCATCTAGGACGGTTAAATCTGAATCACCAGGTGTTAGAAGAAAAAGGGTATCTCCAGTACCTGTAAGTTGCAAGCTGTGATGTAATTTTTAATTTGCCTATATTCTGCAATCTTTTGCTTGCAATTAATCCTCCTTGTATAGGGCAAAATGCTGATACAAAGGGGTTTATGACAGGATACCACTTCAGTGAGGTATGCAGAGCATATCCTTGTTAAATTTCTCATGTGTGGAATTTTACTCTCTGCTCTTAAGTGTGAGTTTTCTTTTTAATTCAGTCCTGCTTTCAATTTCTATTTGTAGGAAATAAAAAAAATACAGATACTCAGTCATGAAGATGTGTATTTTCTCTTAACTTGATTTGCACAAAGAATTGCTAATAGTTTGGGGTTTTTCCTGCAGTTTTGCATGTCAGCTCTCCAGGCAGGTATATTCCATCAGGGACAGCATTGTTGACTGTATTAAGATTCCTGCAGAAAAGCATTACTGGTATGCTATTTGTGATCCTCTATTCCAGAACTGATCTTCATGTACAGATTAGGTAAGATTTAGATATATGCATTGTTAGAAGACTAAACTCTGTTATTGCATTTGAGAAGATGTGGAATAGAATGTCTGGAGCAATAGTAACTGGCTTCATTAAAGAAGATCAAGAGTATAATGTTTTGAGTGACAGTATTTAATGGGTTTCCTTGTTATAAAAATGCTTATCCACAATTAAGCTTCAGCTGACTTGTCTAAAACTCCACAGTATAATTAGAGTAAGAATACGCTCTAATTGCTTTTATTGTCGTATTGCTCTAAACAAGGTTTCTAAAATAAAATATGTACTGCCATTCCACACTTCTCTGAACTGGGAATGAGTATCACAAGTTACAGTACTGCAGCACAGCTCCTTTCCTCTTGACAAGAAAAATCGAAAGGGGGGGGAAAATCCCAACCAAAATACCCCAGAAAATGCAAAACTCCACCAAACTACTTAGTTTAGTCTTTGATACATATTTACTCTATTGGTTTTCTTTGTTTTACCTTAATCTTTCACATGAAAAACCTTAGAAGTCCAGACTATCTTTTACTTAACTCATGGACAGTGAGTTTAACATAACCTGTATTATAACATAAAATTCAAAGTGGATGTAAATCAAAGCAGAAGATCTGAAGTTGGATAGTCATTAATGCATGTTGTAACATTAGAAATGTGAAGTATTTAAATGAAGACAAACTTAAAAATGTTTAGGCCATGGAATTTTTGATCATGGGGAAATGAAACATAAAAACCATCCTGAGCTGAAAGTTGCTTTAATTGTGCAAAGGAGAGGAAGCTGTATCCTTTTTCCTTTTCTTCGGAATTTCTTTTGTTCTTCATTGACTGTACAGTCCCTTTTGTAAACTGCAGTCATAGGATTTCCTCATTTCTGAAATGTGTTAGCATTATAACCTTATATAATAACTTCCTGTATTAAGTCACAAGTCTATGATTATCTTCTGATTGAATTATACTTGATAGTTCCATAGTAATATGGTAAAGCAACCAATGAAGACTTGAAAATAGAAGCAGTTTAAAATACTTCAGTCATAATGACAAAATTCTGGTTAGCAGAAGCTTCAGTTTTCCTTCTGCCCTCAAGTTCTGGGCATGAAAGAAAAGTAATCCTTTTATTGTCTTATAGTCTAAGCAGGTTTTAGTAGTTTCAGGGACTCTTATCTGCCACTTGGAGAAAAAAAAATCCCAAACAAACAAGATATACCCCACCAATTCAACACCAAATTAAACTTGCTGTGGTCCTGGAAATGCTTGTGATGGTACCACTTATTTAGTTTCAGAGTGGACGAATAACACCACCTCGACGAGCCCCATCTCCAGATGGCTTCTCTCCATACAGCCCTGAGGAAACAAATCGTCGTGTCAACAAAGTTATGCGAGCCAGGCTCTACTTGCTGCAGCAGATTGGACCTAACTCTTTCTTAATTGGAGGAGACAGCCCTGATAACAAATACAGAGTGTTTATTGGGCCTCAGGTAGAGGACATCTTTGTGGTCTGTAGCTTTTATTAATTTAATCTTGGAAAACTGTTCAAACCCATGTTAGGTCAAGTTAGTTGTCAGCCATGATAATGGCTGTATAAAGTAATGTTTAAAAGTTGTAATCTGTGCTCCTGTGATGTAATGATCAGCTTATATTTTGTCAAATATGTAGCAAGTATGTTAGTTTTGTCTAAAATCTATCTTCATAAAAAGACTCCAGTTTGGGAGTCTATTTCTCATTCCTAGAAATGTCTCCAAATTATGTCTTAGGTACTTTAGTTAAAATCTGGCCACTTCATTTTCCTAGTTTCTCACACTGTTTTATCCCATCCATTCATGGGATATATATAAACAACAAGCCCACAACATCATTCTTTTAATAGTGTGATAACTTCATTAATATACCCATAGTGAGGTCCTTTTTGTAGACTTTAATAGTACTATTTTGATGCTGCATTGGGGGATATTTAGGGTTTTGAGTAAATAGAAGCATCTCATTTAAGTTCGATTGCTGTCATGTTATGGATATATGGAGATTATATGCATAAATTCCTTCCAGTATGAAGCATAGCAATAACTTCAGTCAGATTTAAAAAAAATAGTAGAAAACTGGTAAAAAAAGTGAATTAAAAACTGATGTTGTTGTTTTCTGCTTTTCAGTATATATTCCTGAATAATATTTTAGGAAATATTGTAGACTATGTAAGCCATTTATGCCTATATGTGAAATATTTTGCATTAACTACTTTTTTTTTTTTTTCTCAGGGCTGGGGGCAGTACATGTTCTATGATGCCTTTACATATGGAAAATTATCTGTGTAATTACCGATTCAGTAGAGCCTTAGCATATATTTTTCTTTGCAGACTTGTAGCTGTGGCCGTGGGACGTTTTGTATTCATCTGCTGTTTGTTATGCTGCGGGTGTTCCAGCTTGAACCCTCAGACCCAATGCTCTGGAGAAAGACGCTGAAAAACTTTGAGGTAATTGATTTCTAATAGATCTAATAGCAGATATAAAATACACTCTCTAGGTAAAATTCTTTAGGACAGTATCTTAAAAATGCTGGAAACCATTGCTTTGAAAGGCAACAAGAATGTATGTTTTTAATTATATCTTTAATTCAGTCTCGAGCTCTCCAAATAGGAAAAAAAAGTAGCTGAAAATAAAAGACATAACTACGAGGAGTAGTGGAGAGCTGTAGTTTAGTGAGCGATTCAGATCCTGGATTTTCTGCTCAAATTTGTATATGTGTCTCACCAATTGCCTGAAAGGTAAACAGAATGGGTCTTCAGAAGTAATAGAGTATATACTTAAAGCTCTTGCTTAATAAGCAAATAAGTTGGTTTTTTTTTTTTTCTTGTAAAGTGTCTCCTGTGATCTGTCTATTTATTAGACTTCTGAAATTCCTCCTGCTGCTAATACTGCTAATGCATTATTGTGAAGGTGAATAGAACTTTTTGTAGCAGTAGTTAAGCTTCGGTAATGTTACTTGTAATTACAAGGTATTCATAGCATAAACACGATTGTTGCTATCTCTTTCTGATGTTAGGTTGAGAGTTTGTTCCAGAAATATCACAGTAGGCGTAGCTCAAGGATCAAAGCTCCATCTCGTAACACCATCCAGAAGTTTGTCTCACGCATGTCAAATTCTCATACATTGTCATCATCTAGTACTTCTACATCTAGTTCAGAAAACAGGTTAGTATTTTTCTAAAGGAATTAAAAGCTTTATTCTGTAGTTTTCTTTGAAGGTTTAGAATCACCTGCATTCTTTTTTGTTGAAAGCTGCTTTCATTTCAAACCACGTTAAATCTGTATTTGCGAACAATTGAGTCAAGCATGTGTTAGTCACTGTGGTACCAAGTGGCCCGATTTGCTTTATAAATCCTGTTTGAAAAATGTTAGGTAGAGTTATGAAAATATTTCTTTTTTTTTTTTTTTTGACCCCTTATGGATTTGGAAAACAAACTTTTGAAATGTAAGTGGAGACTGAAGCATGTATTAACTTTGGAAATCTATTTGGGTGCGTTTGTTCAAATACAGCACTTGTACAAATGTTGACAAATGAAGAAACAGGATTTTTCTTTTTCTCTTACCCTGTTTTGGAGAATGCTTGTGTCTATGATAATATGCTGTGTAATTTTTGGGCAAGTGCAGTCTGTTTGTGTAAACATGTATAAAATATATGTTCACTTACATTTTTACATATATATATTTTAAAAAAAACACCTAAAATAGGTGATTACATTACTTTGAGAGCTATTAAACTATTAAAATTTTAAAGTTTATACAATATTAAACAATGCCTTTTTATCAATGTTAAGTGAAATTTGATTCTTCAATTATTTTCCCCTGACTACTTTTACTTGAGTGCTTTTGCATGTTCTTTTCCTTGATTTTGAAAAGATTAATTTTAAAAGATTAATTTTGAACAGATTAATTTGCTTAATTTTTAAACAAGTGATTTGTGCATTCATTACTGGGTGAACTAGACATCCTCTAGAGTGGTCAAACCATAGAAGGCAACCTAAATTGTGTCTTGAGTAAAGTAAAACATAATTTAAGGAGTACTGTGATAGGTTACTTTGTGGTAATAAGCTTATAGTTAGATTAATATATTCAGACAGGTTTATAATCCTAATATATAGATTGAGACCTTAATTTCCTATCATCTTTTATTTATTTTTCCAGCTTGCCAAATTGCATCAATGTAGGTAAATTGCATAAACAAAACGGTTAAATACGTAGGCTCCTCTGGAACTACTTATCTGTCAAGCCAATTCTTTCAATGTAGATACCTTGTGTAGGAACTTTTTGTGTTTTTTTTTTTTTTTTTTTTTTTTTTTTAGTTTTATAGAATTGGCTTCACTGGGCTGTGAACTTCACTACAATAGTTATCATTTTTACAGGGTAGAAGATTTTCCAGTTGTTTGCCAGTACAGCTGTTGATTAGTTCCTAGCATTACTGGTTCTATGCGATAAGCTAGTATTTTGTGTAAGGCTAATCTTGCATGATATAAGTATGTGAGCATCAGATTCATTTGAGATAAAAGTTTACTCTGTTCTTCCAATTATTATGACATGCAGTTATCTTCGCTTTATTGCTAGTTCTTCAAAAAGAAGTTTTAATTTAATACTTGCCTTTCTATACTTGCTGTGGAAATGAGTTTCTGTGTAAGCTTATTTTTGAGGATTTTTCAAGGAAAAAAGCATCAACCATTTGCAGGGAAGTAGAAGTAAATATATGTGTATAGAAATAATCCATGAACAAATTAATTTAAAAATATATAAGTATGGGGTTCCGGCAGACTTTTGGACACTTACAAACTATAACTTAAATTTTTGCTATGAATAGTAAGTTTCGTGCATTTAAACAATATTACAGAAGATTAAAATCTGTGGTTTTCACTACGTGTCGTTTAAGTTCAGAATAATTTTTCTGACTAAATCCCTTGTGATATGTATTTAAAAATTAAAGTGAGGATAAACAAAATGGAAGCAACTGTAAAATGGAAAATGTTTTTTTAAGAAATCTACATGTGATGTGTGTTCATGTTGAATCTATTGTATCTGTTTCTGTTAGTGGCAGAGAATTATTGAGGGGCTGTTACCATCTGGTCATTTTTTGTGTATTACATAAGTTCATTAAATAGTATTTACAGTTTCCTGTAATGGGCTAAAAACTACCTTGTGACTCCATACTGTGAAAGGATTGTGATGGAAAAAAATGTCAGTAGTTTTCGAAATAGAAAACAATCAAGCTTTTTCAAAACCAAACGATGAGTAAAATAGTAAAGGTTGGTTTGTTTTTAAGAAACCTTGGAGGGGAGGAGGAAAAATGTTTGGTGCCCAACACTGGGCCTTTCAATCTAATTGGTATCTGACCGAGTTTGAAAAGATGTCATGGGTTTTGTGACTTTCCCTTTCATTTTAACAAAGTGTTGTCTGTACTCAGTGCTTCTAAAGTTTGATGGTGTAATTA